ATCAACAACCCGTGCCAGGCTTGGGATCCCGGCACGCACCACCAACGTTTCTCGTATCCACGATCGTGCGATCGTGCCGTGGCCCCAATTAATAGCACACGATAACTTCGAGATCCTAGTACATATTTGCTGGGCGCGAGCTGTGAAGCATCCCCCCCCTCCGCTCGCTGCTTTGCTGGCTACCAGGTGCAAGCATATAGCGGAGGGTTTCCCTGCTCGAGAGTTCTAAAAAAATTTCTGGGGTCAGTCTTTTGGTTTGCTCTGTTTTGCTTCCTGTAACATTTATTGTGTGGTTATTACAGCAAACCAACTCACAGCTCGTCGAAACCTTGGCACAAGTAGCTCGCTCGCTCGCTTATCGCCTTGCAGCTGTCAACCCCAACATCTCACTTTTACCCCGACCTCGGCAATTAATCTGCGGTTTCTCGCACATTTTACTACGAGATTGATAGCAGTTGAGTTTGCTGCCTTCTTAATCCTGCCACCTGAGGCTTGCTGAGGAAACCAGAACCTTCGACGGTCGACCGAGGAGGGCCCAACCACCGACCACCGCTGTGCAGCGGGGTTGCATGTCCCGTATCGGGCCGTACGGAGCACGCACAGAAACACAGAAACGACGAGGGCGACATAATCCGTACATAGAAGGGCAAATACTGTCGCTGGCCAGCCATTCGGAAAAGATAAACTTTGCGGGTATATGGATCTCAAGGCTCGCGCTGTGCGCCGCCACTTGCATAGAGAGCCAAAAGATTTATGCTTTGCAGCCACAAAAGCCACTTGGCGTAGCCCAGTCTGTTTGCAGCCGCCCGACCGGCGACAGCTGTCTGGTACGTACCCGCAGCGTCTGGTTGCCCGCAGCTTCCGTAGCAGCCCAACCACCGAGCGAGCATTCATCATGGCCGATACCAAGAGTCGACCGGGTCGCTCCAACAGCCTGCAACGGATGTTGGATCTAGAAAAACAATATATGGTATGGGCCCTGTCCCAGTTTGCGTTTTTCTCTTCTTTCATTTTTGGCATATCAACTGCGCTGCTGGACTCGTTCAACTTCTCCGAGATAAAACTTACTGATTTGCGTGCCTGTCCCACTGGCAGTTTGAGCGAATCCATCCCCAGACGAACCAGCCAAACTCAAAGTGTCAAACGACTTCCGCATTCGGCACAAACCATCAAGCTTCCCCAGACTGCACAAGCATTCATGCCCGTCGAGCAGAGGGTGCTCAAAAGTCCCAACAAAGCAGTGGTGACCATCGCCGCTATACTTCTCTTCCTCCCCAACTTCCTCCTCTCATGATCAATACCGACAAGTCTTACACAATGAGCAGATCAGACTTTCTGATGGACAGGGGGCGAGAACTCCCCACCCAAAATGGGCCTCATTCAGCGACAGCAACACCAAATGACAAGTACAAAAAAGTTGTTGCTTTTGAATTCCCCCCCAAGGAAGTTGCGCAGTGCCAGTCTCCAAGCTGGGAGGCATATGAACGACGCAAGAATGAGAAGAAGATGGAGAAGAAGGAGCGGGAAGAGTCAAAAAAGGATGGCATCAAGAGACTCTCCAAAAAACCGCCGCCCCCTAGCTCCCCGAGATCACTTCAGCAGGCTTTGGCAGAGGCAGATGCGAGCCGAGGACGTGGGCGTGAAAGAGCCGAATCTACAGCAGCCGTGGGCGGATTGAGCAAAGAAAACAAACCCGCTCGAAAGGCTCGCAGTCGATCGGGTTCATTTGTTTCTATGCTCAGGGCCCCCTTTGAGTTCCGACGCTCGTATACAGACCAGGGAAACGATTCAGGCTTCATTGGTGGCATCAAGCTGGAGCTTCAGCGCCACGCGGCTCAGCAACAGAATTTGGATAGCCATGTTGTGGGAGATGAATCAGACATACATCCCGCTCTTCGCAAAGACAACCAGGAACCTAAATCGAATACGCCCCTGAAGTCACCACCACCTCCATCAAGGCCAGCAAGTGCCAGTGAAACAGATCAACGTCGATATCCGCCAATCACTAGAGGAAACAACCATCATCAAAACACAGCACCTCTTGTCTCACCTTCCGCGCCTGCAATTCCTGACATTAGCACATTTGGTAAGTGGCGTACCAAAGTCGACCTCAAAGCGGGTTCGGGGCCACAGTCGCGTGCTGGCCGTGATGAAGAATCACAGCTCAGCGGAGATGATTCGAATGGACGCAAGCAACAGAGCAACCTGCCACGAGCTGCCAAGGGACCCAGAGAGCAACCCAAATCACCAAGCACTCCATCTTCAAAACCAGTGCACATTGCATTTGCTGCAAGTCCTTCAACCCACTCGCCCTCATCGGCCCAGACTGAGCCGAAAAAGCAGCCTGAGAATAGACGCCCACAGTATCACAGTAATAATGAGTCTGTATCGTCCAACTCATCTGCCACGACCGGATACAAGACGGCTCCTTCTTCGCCTCCTCCTCCAGAACCTCCTCGACGAAGCTCAAAGCGACTCTCGGGATTGAGTTTGGATGAGGCAATACCGCCAGTGCCGCCACTGACTCTTCATCATCAAACAATCGGTGCTCAATTGTCTGCAAACGATGAGCAGTCATTTGCTCAGCGGTCTTTCCCTCTCCTCAAGAATACGACAAAGCCTCAGAGCACGCAACCCAAGGATGGTCGGAACGAAAAAGCAACTTCTTCGTCATGCCAAATGTCACCGTATCTGCCCTTGCTTGGTCACAATGGACATTTGCCAAATAGTTCCTCGGAGGATTCCTGCTCTGAAGACTTCCACTCTACGTCGTCAGTCAGCACACCCGCAACTTCGAGGCCAGGGTCTGAGCGAGGAATACCTCTGATCAGCAAAGACGAGGCAGCTACCTCAGACCCCAATGTATCCAGGGCTCGGCTTGACACAACCTACCCGCTTCAAAGCGCAGACAATTCCGAAGATGAAGGCGTAGACCCCATTCAAGCTGCAGCCGAGAAAGTCCTCGCCGTTTTCAATGGAATTCCAGTACAGAGATCTAATCTCTGCCGACGACGCAATTCTTATTCCAGCTTGGCCACAGATACAAGCTTCGAGCCATCTGCCAGAGAGCGGCCTCTTAACCTTCGCTCCAGAAAGAAGGCCACGGAGCCGTCGCAAAATGGCTATTCGCCTGGATCTTACCTTGAAGAAGCCCGTACACAGCCACCAGCTGCTGCACCAACCCGCGTGTACAAGCAGCGTTTCGGTCCTCCAGCCTCGTTTGCTCTTCCAGATCAGCACTCCTACGAGAACGACAACCTCAAGCCTGCACCGGAAGTTCCTGACACAGTCGGTCGTCCTCTCTGTCACAAGTCTACACCTCGCCTTGCGACCACAGATCGAGATCCTATCGCCAAGACCTTCGTGGAATGCTGCTCCTGCAAGTACTACCACGACATGCCTCGCAACTTGTATCAGGCCATGTCTAACCCTGAAGGGGTGCTCAGCTCCGCTGACAAGTGTGGATTTGTCGGCGCTTTATCCATGACTGTGCGATGTTCTTGGTGCAAGCATGAGATGAGCGTCCGCTGTTGTGCAGCATTATCCACCATGGTATATATCCAAGAGCGACTGTATTGAAAAACATTTCTCCTTCTCATTTACGTCTTACGAATTCGCAGTACGAAACTGTAAAAGGCAACTTAATATACTTAATTCGTGTAATAGGATGGAAACCCCTTTTTGGACTTTCATTAACGACATTATCATACACAGCTCCTTTGTCTTTTGATTTCATCGAAGTGGTGGTTTGTCTGTTGCTGCTCATGATCTGACGACCTGTTGACTTCGAAGGCTTTTTTGGCGTTGGATGTTAAGGGGTTGGTTCATACCCGGTTAGCTAGGAGTTGGTATTTATCACGAGATGTATGTACATCACGATTATTGAAAAACGTCTGCTATGATACCTATTACTGTTCATGTCCCGGAAACACCTGAATTCTGTACCGAGGGCGGCGTGTTGAAATTCCTCTTGGCGATGTTGCAGCCACGTTTGATCGGGGAGTCTAGATGATGTTGGGAAGAAAGAGTTGGTTTACACTTGTTCTCGAAGAAAATGCTCGTGGAATACGTGGGAACCTCCAGAAGTCCAAGTACCTAGGGTTGCGGGCCCATGGGCAACCGCGAGCAACCGCGAAGACCCTGAACTCACTTGGTTATATATCGGCCCCTCCGGCGGGCCCTCCGGCGCGGTAAGCATTGCCATCGAATCAGCGTGGCATCGCCGACTTCGAGCTCTTGTCGAAATCGCCTTCTCGTTGAGAGGGGGGGCATGTGGTCTGGGCTTCACAAGTGACTTTCGGCAATCACAATCGTCGCGCCGCTCTCTTCTTTCATTTCTTCGCGTCAAATCCTACATTGCGTCAGCGGAAACCGTTCTCTTGTTCAGAGCGTCAATGCTCAGCGATGGATTAGGCGAGTTCGGGCGTTGTAGTGCCATCGCTGGCATATGCCGCGGTGAGGGTTGTTGCCGATTAAAGAACGACTTCCTCACCTCACAACATCGGAGTTGGAATGTAAATCTGCTTTTATCCGGTATATGTTCCCCCGTCCATTTTTCACCCTCCAGCTTGAATAGAAGTCTTGATAACTGTGCCCCGCCTCCACGAAACATCAAATGTGGTACTAACCCATCGTCCCCGTTCCTATTTTCGAGTAAATACGTAAGAGAACCTAACCATATCTAGTATTTCCCTAAAGCCCCAAAGAGGCAAACAAGATATTTCCCCCGCTCAAGTCCCGTATCCATGTAACCAACCACCCTTCGGGTTTCTAGCCGGCGTAATGAATACAACTAACTAACCAACTAACCAGGGATGAGTTCCTCTCCGTCCAATTATCAAAACAGGGAAAACCCAAACCAAACTAGGCTAGCACTACTTCTCGACTTATCCTCTCTCCACATTCTGCCCCACTAACCTTATTTCTCAATGAAATTTTTCCCCTAAACTCCAGGTGAGAACAGGTCTTGAGAAATTTAAACTGCGTAATACGTCATCCAAGGCACTTTGGCCGAGTGGTCTAAGGCGCCGTGTTCAGGTCCCTCCGTTTCGGTTCGTCCGAACGGTTCCTCTTCGCGGTCTAGTAATAGGCGAGGGTTCGAATCCCTCAGGTGTCACTTACCTTTTGGCACAATATCTTCCCACACCTTGTTTAAGATTTTTTTTTTTTTTAATACCATCAAAACAAAAGATCATGTAACCGAATGGGCGGATACTTTTATGTAGGTAGATCCTAGACAGTTCTGCGGCTCTTAATTTGAAGCAGCGAGGTCATAAAGCCGTGCGTGGGGGAAACACAAGCATGGCTATCGAAACGGACATGCACGTCGTCATTGAGTTCGTTCCCACTTGGCCGGTTCAGCTCTTTCGACGCTGAGCGACAAGCAGGCTACCGTCCGTACCACGCATGCAACTAACTGCTTGCCATTGGTCTCACTCAACCTCGTAATACGAGCTTGCCATCGGAGTATCGGGCTGGTGGGCATGAGCATGGAGTTTCGCCAGGTCTCGACCGTGGTGGCGTGATCTGGAACTCGGAAGATAATTTTTGTTCCGACAATGCGGGTTTCGCGCCACTGCCGACCGGGTTTGATCGCAAGGGGCTCGATGCTCGCAGCTGTTACAATGATTGTAGTTGGGTTTTTCGGATTGATGCACGATCTGCAGTGGCCGGGACGAAGGGGACAGGGGTTCGGGAACTCATCATGGCGAAAGTGAGACAAGTGAACCGCAGCAGACGTTGGCTGCGCCCAGACCCCCCCACCCCCCCACCCCCCCCAATCTCTCCTCTCTTGCCAAGAGAATGAACATGCACCACATGAGGCGAAGCCAAGCCCGGCCGAAAACCTCATGTTGGCCGTGGCCTTGGCCGGTTGGCATGTCATGCCAGTTTCCCACATGCGCTACGTCATTTTCAGGAACAACTCCTAGCTACGAATTACTCTGGTCTACATTTGTCGTCTGGTTCACCGTGCACTGCCTCACGCAGAGGGGCAGAGGTGTTTCCTACTCGGGACAAATGGGCAACCCGGTTCGGGGAGTTTCCGACGAAGAAGCAGACACATGGCTTCCTTGCTTTCTGTTTTTTTTTTTTCCCTTCCTTCTCTGCGTACTTAAGAGGCGGCATGCCTCGCCGTTTCTGAGGGACATCAGAGGTGTTTTGGAGAGAATACCAGTTTACGGATACTCACTCTGAAATACCAAGTCTACTCTGTCTCGAGAAAGTACTCTCGTATCCATCGCGTGCCCGTTCCATACCCAATCCATACCACTCTCGGTGTACGTACAACAACCGAGACCCCCCTCTTTTTCCTTCTTCGAATACACTTTAGAAATCTCGTCATCTTTATAAACACGCAACATGACGGCCGACTTCATGGGAAGGATGAAAAAGTCCTTTGGCAGCGATTCTCGCCCCGAAATCCCCCTTGCCCGCCCCGAATCACGGTCCAACCCCGTCTCCGGTCCCGAGGAGACCAGAACCCAGCCTCGCGTGCACTTCAAGGGATGGACTCCCCCGTCAAGGTATGTGGGGGGCACCGACTCAAGACTTGTTGCGACGAGGAAACCCCAACGCTGATTAACCATGAGAGTTATTAGCGACGGCGCCCAATGTGCCAGCCAGGACGTCCGCGACGCAGCACACTCTCCGCCATCAGTGCTAGGCCGGTATCTTGGCCCGCCTGTCATCGAGCACAAGTATCCCCAGGATAGCAAGTGGAGGAGACACTCGATCAGTGCGCAGGAGCAGTACTATACGCGATGAGGGGAGGCGAGGGTGAACGAAAGAAGGACGGACCTGAATCGGTGACTGTGTCTCTCCATGACGACCCCCTCTGTCCAGTCCTACGAATGATGACGCTGTGAGTTTTTAATTTGCCATTATGAGCCATGGTCATTTGCGTCATGAAGCGAATGAATTGATGCGTGCTGTGAAATGAGCTTCATGTTCCTCCGGCTGGGCATGGGATGCGACTCGTGTTCATCTGCGAATGACCGATAAATGTGGTACTAAACGGCACTTTGCGTGGTGTGGGATCATGTCGCGTGATGGTGCTCACGTCGTGTCCATCGTGTGGTGGAAGCGCCAACAAGGGAAAAAAAAAAAAAAAAAAAAAAAAAGGGCCAAATCTTCAACGATAACCCAAACCCAGTATTCCCGGCCCACTCCTACCACTCCAGCCGCCCATCTGGATATCTCTGGATATTTGGCCCCTCGTATTAGTCCGTACCCCGCACGTCATCTCAGGTTCGAGCATCCCCCGGAACTGACGAGCTCTGAATCACCGTTCCAGCAACTTTCCAAAATGGCGACTCAAACCCTCAACCGAGACGAGATTAGCGTAAGGCCACTCCTCTCTTCTGCTCTTCCTCTCCCAGTTGAATTTGATTCCACGTATGAAACGGAGACATTGACCCTCATCGCCCCAGAACCTCTCCTTCATCCTCAACAAGCCCTACGACGTCACCTTCCAGGAACGGCCCAAGCCAACGCTCCAATCGCCGCACCATGTCATCGTAGCCGTCAACTACACGGGCATCTGCGGCTCAGACGTGCACTACTGGCACCACGGAGCCATCGGGCACTTTGTCGTCAAGGACCCCATGGTCCTGGGCCACGAATCCGCGGGCACCGTCGTTGAAGCCGGTTCCCAAGTAACCCATCTCAAGCCCGGAGACCGCGTCGCCATCGAGCCCGGCTATGGCTGTCGACGATGCGCCGAATGCCGCGCGGGCAGGTACAACCTCTGCGACAACATGATCTTTGCCGCCACGCCCCCTCACGACGGCACCTTGACTGGGTTGTGGGCATCCCCCGCCGACTTCTGCTACAAGCTCCCGAAGTCGGTGTCTCTCCAAGAAGGCGCCCTTATCGAGCCCTTGGCCGTCGCCGTCCACATCGTCAAGCAAGCGTCTGTCCAGCCGGGCCAGTCCGTCGTCGTCATGGGCGCCGGCCCAGTCGGCCTGCTCTGCGCAGCCGTGGCCAAGGCCTACGGCGCCTCCAAGGTCGTCAGCGTGGACATTGTCCAGTCCAAGCTCGACTTCGCAAGGGACTTTGCCTCGACGCACACCTATCTCTCACAGAGAGTTGCGCCAGAGGAGAACGCAAAGGCCATCAAGGAGCAGATTGGCTTGCCCAGAGGCGCCGACGTCGTCATCGACGCCAGCGGCGCGGAACCCTCCATCCAGACAAGTCTGCACACGGTCCGCGTGGGAGGCACCTACGTCCAGGGCGGCATGGGCAAAAGCGACATCACCTTCCCCATCATGGCACTGTGTCTCAAGGAAGTCACGGCCAAGGGATCATTCCGCTACGGGCCCGGCGACTATGAGCTGGCCATTGAGCTGGTGGCCAGCGGCGTAATCGACATCAAGAAGCTGGTCACGACCGTGGTGCCCTTTGACAAGGCAGAGGAGGCGTTTAAGAAGGTGAAGGAGGGCCAAGTCATCAAGATTTTGATTGCCGGACCCAACGAGAAGATGTAGATTTGGTCATGAACTGGGAGCGAAGACGGAATCGCAGATTGAGCCATGGGGGCAGGCCAAATCATGCAGGGATGAAAAGGAAGAAGAAGGAGAAATGGGCTGTTTTGAGCTGGGAGTCCGGAGTAATTGAGTGGAAACAGACATTATATAAATATGCTTACTCGATCCAGCCCAACGACGTGTCCCAAGTACCCCGCTCTTTTTTTCGTGTTCTCACAAAAAAAAAAGAAAGGAAAAAAAGAAAGGAAGAAGACTCATCAATCCATCTATCAGTTCAGCCAACCCCCGTTTGCTATCTACATCCCGAGCTGAAGTATGTATGTTTGCCAATGACAGGCGGGCGGGGCTCTGAGGTTGGGCACGATTCGGACGGAGACTATTTTTACATTCCATGTACTTGGCACGGAGTAGATGCGATGGAGCGCAAGATGGTGTGCACTGTGGAGAGGAGCAGCTAAGTGGTGTGCGTCGTTTTCTGGTGAATGGATGAACGTTTTGGCTGGCGAGACGGAGGAGGAGGAGGAGGAGGAGGAGGAGGGATCTGATGGGCAGCTGGGATGGGGGAGGGCAGGCCCATGCCACTTGTCAATAATCGCACCCATTTTACTCCTTCAAAACACAGTTACACAGCACAGCTGATGAAACCACCACTTTCGGCACGAGCCAGCGTTGGCATCCCGGTCCCCTGCCGTGCGGCTGAAGAAGACTAGCGATACGCCTTGCTCCTTTGGAAGAGCGCACGCGGCGTGGCAGCGTGGCAGGGCAAATATTGGTCTTGCTATTCGCTTTGGGCTCGCAGTCAATGGGCAGATTACGCCTCAAGTTTGGGCGACGAACAAGAAATACATTGACATGTTGTACTCCGCACGGGAATATACAAGTGCCTGCGGCTGCACGCCACCGTCAGCCTTGGTCGGCCTGAAAAGGCCGTCTTTATATTGTTGTCCCTTGCTTTAAAAGGACAGACAGAAGACGTTGCTTTCCTTTCAAAACAAGGGGGTAGACAAGAGCTGGTAGAATCTTTCACATCGTGACATGGCCCACGATGGAGACTGCTGCCACGGAGAAGCACTCGACGTCGAGCCATGTGCTCGAAACGCCCATCTGGATCACCGTTATTCGAGGATTCCAATTCTTCCTCTCGCTTGTGGTTCTGGGCCTCGCAGGCCGCTTGATGCACGACTTGTACCTCGATGAGTTTGGTCTCGCCGTCGCCACTGTGAGCTTTCTTCTCCAGACGCACCGCACCTCCTTTCTTCTCCGGGGATAGAACAGTATGAGATAACAAGGGGCACAAAGCAAACGAGGACTAACACCGTCGTCTCCAACAGGCCATCATCACCTGGGCGATCCTCTTCTACGTCATCTCCACCGAGAAAATCACCTCCTGGCAGAAAGCATACCATGTCATCGCTGTCCTAGTCCTCGAAGCCTTCCTCGTCATCCTGTGGCTCGCGACCTTTGCTGCCGCTGCCGCCCGACGAGCCTCCTTCACTGTCCCGGCCCGCGTGAGCGGATGCTTCGACGACGGCAGCGCCGTCAACAGCAAGATTTGCTTCAGGAAGAGAGAGATCGAGAAGAGAGCGTACTTGTTCGAGAGTGGACAGGCCATGTTCAGTGCTATCGCTGG